AGCTTCAAAATACAAACTCGCAAAAAAAAAATAACTCCAAAAATGTATGAGTATACTCCACAAAATAAAAAAACGACACCAATGAAGAAGCGTATTGTTGAACTTGTCTAAATGAACTGCCCCGAAAAAATAGTAGTGAAATCTTTCAGTCAGTCATCACAAGTAATCAAAGCCACATCTATTCACCAAAGTAATAATAAAAGAAAAACAATATAAGTGAAAAGATTTTGAGCAAAGGATCTGCTTAAATTCTCATCATCACCTCAATTATTTCATGTGCTACCGTAAAAAAACAACCATAAACAAACATGCTTAGTAAAAAAAAATAATCTTTTCCAATTACAATACAACTAGCCCTTTTAATCTCATACAAATAGCAGTTGTTACTTCCAAATAATGTCATCATTAAAACTTCAGCCATCACCATTTATGCATGTAGAAAATAACAAAAAAGCCAATCTTGGTTAAGTGTTTTCCAGTATCAACCATATCCATAAAGCCAAAATACCTCTCATATTTACTGAAAAAACAAATGCAACGTAAACTGATAAAGCCTTCAGCAAGAAGTTTTTCACGCCCCCTTAAATTGATAAAGCCTTCCACATGAGAAGGGTGTTTCCCCTTATAGTATTTAGCAAACATATATTGAGCGAAGATGGATTTTAACTCCCTAAAGTTAAGCCATAATTTTATACAGTTTATTAATGCAATATGATTTAGATCTTTGAAACTCAATCCTCTTGCAAAACAAGGTTCGTATACTTTTATCTAGGAAGCTGACAGTTTCTTTTATTGATCACCAGACCATGGGAATTTATTAAATACTTTTTCAAGCATTGTTTGGGTACTCGATTTAATCCTCATCACTTGTAAAACATACAGAGGGATAGCATTTAATACACTTTTAACAATGTGATTCTCCCCCCAAAAGAGAGGAAAAAATTAGTCCACTCGATAACTCTCCCTTGATTTTTCCCACCACCTCATCAAATTGGATTTATTTTTTCTTTCCCTTAAGAAGATTCACCCCTAAATATTTGAGAGGTAAATCAGCCATGGAAAAACCAGAATATTGGTTCACCCATCTTCTTACTCCCATATTCACATTTTTATAAAAGAAAAGTTGAAATTTTGATAACATTAAAAGACATACCATAAATTTTATGAAATTTTAAAAGAAGTTCATGTATCTTTATCAAACGTACTTACATATATTGATAAATAATATAGCATCATCAACATATGCAAGATGACTAATCATCATAGAAGCTCTATGATGATACTGAGTTCTACAAAATCTTCTTTGCAAATCATTAACCATTCTTGAAAAATAGTAAAAAAAATAAGTATAAAAATTGTTGGAGAGAGTAAATCACCTTGTTTTATTCATTTGTCTGATGAGAGGAAACCATTTAAGTTCCTATTTATTAGCATGGTGTAGTGGTTCCTTCTAACCATCTCTTGATAAGATTACAAAGTCCTCCTGAATATCTATCCCTTTCGGCACATTTAATATGAATTCCCAACTAATTAAATTATGTTATTTTTTAAAATCCAATTTAATGATTAAATTCCCTCGCCTTTTTTACCTAGAACAGTTAATAATTTCTGAGCCAGTATAATATTGTCAATAATGTTTCTCCCTTTTATGAAGGTAGATTGATTTGTTTCTATTATCTAAGATAGGTGAGGTTGCAATCTAGCTATTACAATTTTGTTGATTACTTTAGATAAAACTGATGTTAAACATATGGGACTGAAATGTTCCCAGGGTGTTTTCTCCTTACCTTTTGGTATGAGAATAATAGTGGATGTGCAAAAATATTTTCACAAATCATGATCCAAGATGTAGCTTTGTTTTACAGGGATTACCTCGTCCTTAATGATGTTCCAACTCACCTTATAGGACTCAGCTGTGAAAACATTTGGTCTAGCTACTTTATTGTCATTTATACCTTTTAACGCTACCCATATTTCACCCTCTATCAGCATATTAGTGAGAATTATTTCACTGATGTAATGTGCATGATCTTGCAACATGTCAAGATCAATATTTTGTGTTTAACCACAACGCTAAACAAGGTTTCAAAGTATGCAACATCACTTCTGCTTACGTCCTCTTGTGTAGTGAACCAACCGTTATTTTCATTTTTAATTCTCATTATTGTGTTTATTCTTCTTATTTTATTTTTGATGCATGTATTTCAATAGTGTGAATTTTTGTCTCCCTCAATAAAATGGGCTTTCTCTGCTTTCTGTTTAAGAAAATCCTCTTGTCATTTTTTTGTCAGTTTCAGTTTGTAGTGTGCTTCCTCTAATTTTCCCCTTATCTTCTCACTTACCTCATCTATAAATTTCAACTTAGTTACCTCATGCTCCACTTTAGTCACCGTTTTATTCACATCACCAAATTCTTGTCAATTCCAATGCTTTAATGCATCAGCCACTTTTTTATGCAATTGTCACAACACCAACCATGCACTACCCCCTTTATTTTTCATCCAGTTTAATTTAACACAGTTGATGAAGTTGCAAGATTTATCCAAGTATTTAGAAAAATGAAATTAGTTTGTTTAGGTTTTTCTGTGATGAAAATACTCAACAGAATTGGTCGATGATCAGACCTAGTACTAAGCAAATGAAAATTGTTAATTTGATGAAAATTTCATAACCAGCTTCGATGAACCAAAATTCTATCCAGCCTTTCAAAAAACGCTTCCCCTTTTCCATGTAAATATCGAGCCAACAAATCCCAGATAAAAAAACTTTGCACTCAGATGCCCTTTTTGAACCCCGACATTAAATGAGTTCCACCAAATTTCCTTCTCTTTTCTCAGCATTACATGCGATCATGTTAAAATCTCTACCCAATCCAGTTCTCGATCACATTTTCCTTAAGCAGGATTATTTTATTCCATGACTCCAATCTCATTTTTTGAAAGTGCTTGCATACACAAAATTAGCCCATCCTTGGAATGTATCCAGTTCAAACTTAACATGCAGGGACTATGTATCATCTTTTATGATATGAAGATTTAGCTATTTCCTTTAACAAAATCACACCTTATTATTTACATCTAAGGTAAAATTAAATCCAGTAAGTTTCTTCATTATTTTATTATTGTTATAACTAACTAAAGTTCCAAGATTGCAAATACTCATAGTCAATGGACCCTCATTAAGTGTTTCAGCATATCAAGGGCATAAGTGATAGCTATTCCCCTGATATTTCAAATCAGTAAATTAATCATAGTTCGAGAATATGCTTCTCCTAGTGGTTCTAGAAGGGGTATACCTGTTATCGCCATAAAAAAATGATTGAAGTTCTGCTTTAATAATATTTCTACTTTCTTAGTATTTCAATTCTTGTTCACCTCTTTTTTTCCTTATTGATATTTGAACGATTCATTCCTCCTCAATATCATTTCTCGTCTCCTCCAACTTCTCCAAAATATTTATGCCCTCTATATTGGTATCATTAACCACCAAATAAATCGTCTCTTCAGGTAAAACACAACGATGTTGTTTCTCCTCTAAGTTTCCTTTCACACAAAAAAATCTCCTATACTAGATCTTACTCTACCAGCGCAACCTCCACACCACATCACTATTCTTCGTTTCCTCACTGCCCTCAACCTCCCCATCCACCTCAGTCCCCTTTAGTACAATTTCTTTTTCTTTTTTCAAAGCATAAATTATTCTCATAGTCAACCTGTTGTACATTGAGTTCTACTTCTCCAAATTGACTGTGCTATTTCCCTATAATAATTCATTATAAGTAGGTGCAGGATTTACCTGATGAGTCTCCTCACGCTGTTGCACAACTTCATTTACATTTTTGTGATTCTTAAGCACATTTACTTTAAATTCAAGGTCTAAAACATAGCAATTCTATGCGAGATGATCGAACATATGACAATTATTGTAGTAACAAGGATTCTGCTCTACCAAAACCTTTTGCCAATACCTATCATGCACTGAACCAATATTTCTTTAGGAACCACACTTGTGATGTCCCTCTCAATCGAAACTCTCGCTATATAGGGTTTCTTTAGATTGCAAGTAAGAACATCTAGCTTCATCAATCAGCCAAAGATAGCATCTAGGGATAAAAAGGATTTCATGATCGAACAGGTGTATCTTTAAACCCTAGAATCTAAACCAAATTGGTAGAATTGATGGTTCGATTTGCAGATCAAAGTCCACAGTCCACTTCGAAATCTTCAGCTAGAGAAAAACTAAAACATAGATCTAACACAAATTTTCACTAAGCACAATACACAAAAGAAATACGAGAGGTACGTATGCGTGCGCGCCTGTTGAATTCATTTAGGATATCATATCCCACTCATACAACATATAGACGACTAAGTAAGAAACAATATTCTGAAAGTGGATGGATGAACACTAAATTTAAGCCTTACCTCTTGTGTTTTAAGGGAAGTGGGAGAGGATCCAAAATTTTCCTCTTTAAGGAGGGAGAGCATCTCTTTTTATTTCACTCTCCTTATTGATTTCTGAACAATTCAGTCCTCCTCAATATCATTTCTTGTCTTCTCCAACTTCTCCAAAATATTTATGCCCTCTATATTGGTATGTGATAACTAACACTTCAACAGATGATCATATTAATTTATCTAAGGAGGTCAGCGTCGGTAGATGGTACATGAGAACTAACACTTTATCATGTGAGGTTGGTGAATCATCTCAACAAGTCAAACTCAATAGTTAGTATGTGATAGCTATGTTTTTTAGAAAATGAGTCACCCACATTTGTTAGACCTCTAAAAGTATGTATAGATTTATTGTGTACAATTCATATATATATATACATAAATTTTTTTTTTTCTTTCGATAAATGAATGGGCCGAAGCACAAATAAAAATTTAAAAGTATTTATTTGATCTGACGCACATTACTGGAAGAAGTGTTCCGCCGGTACAAGTTAACGGCACAAGCGCTTCGGCGCCGCCATCGCTGCTGCGGATTCGAACGAGCTACCCATCTCTTCCCGCTTTAACACGACGCAAAAATAATCCTTATAAAAAAAAGAAGAAGAAGAAATTAGAATCCTTTCCCCCGCTTTGCCTCCAAAAATCAGTCTATAAAACCCTCCAAAATCACAAGCGAAAGGCTACTACAGAAATCAAATCCTAATTCCTTTCCCCCTCTTCTTTCAAAACCCTAATCTCTCTCCCGCTCCTCAGATCCAATATCACCCTCATCACTCTCCTCCATGTCCGGCATCGAAAGTTCGAGCCTTGCGAAGAGTCATCTCCCCGTTCAATCTCCTGAGATCCTTCCCTGTCCGGTCAATCCTCACTTCAACTTAGGTTCTGAGGATTTCTCTGGTTTTCGATGCATAGTCACTGGCGTCGCTGACAAGGGAAAGGTGCTGGCGCCATCCGTTAATCCGTTCAGCTGCGCTCAGCCCGTGAGCAATGATTCTGTAATATTCGCTTGCTTAACCCTCTAGTTGAGCTTTCACTTAAGATCTGCAATTTTTCTAGCTTTATTATATTGTGACCTTTTGATATGCTTAGTTGTTATCTTACATTTTGTTGGTGATTTTCTTAATTATTGTTGTTATTATGTAATTTGACATGAGGAATATTTTTGTCTCGAAGTGATGTTTTATATCAAGAGTTGGATCATACACAGTTTAGTTTGAATTTCAATGGTTGATTTTTTTTTTCATTTATGTGGTGGAGGTTTGCAGGATCTAGCAGAGTTTTTTGGAGAGTCTCTGATACCAAGTCAAATTTTAGTTTTCTTTGATAAATTTCTTTTTTACAATATTGTGGCTATAAATAACCACTATATATAATTGAAATGTTAAAATTTGGGACTACAATTCTTTTAGCCATTAGAACATATCTTTAACTTAGGAAACATATTTATGTACAATCAATCTATATACGGAAGTATACCAGCTTAGAAATACTTTTAGAATCTTCAATAAGATTTGGGTATAAATGTAAAAAGTTAAGTTTTTGGTGTTAGATATCTATAAATACATCAGAAGGTGGTGGTTTGTGTGTAAATCTCTTAAAAGAACTTTATACATTTTGAGTGTTTAAAAAAAAAGACGGAATGCTTTTCAAAAAAAAAAAAAGTTCAAAATGAACTCAAAACAAAACAATTTGTATTAAAAACCTCCAAAGGTTGGAGGTTTCGGCTTCCTACAAGAGGATGCTTCAAAATATGGTGGAGGTTTACAGGATCTATTGGAGGTTTAAGGAGGTCTCAGATACCAAGTTAAATTCTTGGATTTCACTCATATCTTTCATCTTATAATAGGGTAACTATGAATAATCTCTATACATAATTGGAATGACAAAATTTAAGTTTATAGATCTTTTAGCCATTAGAGCATATCTCTAATTTAGGAAATCTATTTATTTACAAGCAATCTATATAGGAAGGTATACCAACTTGAAAACACTTCTAGAATCTTCAACAAGATTTAGGTGATATGAATGTAAAAGGTAAAGTTTTGGTGTTAGATTTATAAATATATAAGAAGTGGGTGGAGATTTTTAGAGTCTTTGATGGTCCAAAGAAGGACCATTCAAATACAAGTGGTGAATTGTTGGATAAAAATTATGAAGAAACTATGCTGCTTGAGCAACCTATTTTCGACTAATTGGACATCTAACCAATTATTTTTTGAGGTTGATTCCTTTTCCAAACCCCAAGTAAATTTTGAATCTCAATTCTTTCCAAAAGTACCACCTAATTGAGCTACTAGATTTATACCTAGAGTTAACTATGAACCTATTATTTGTTTCAATCCAAGTATCCCATAAGCAATTATGTGTCCTATCATGGACTGTAAAGAAAATACGAGCCATTTGTGAATCAATTATCTACTGTTTATACCTACTAATATGCATGAAGCACTAGAAGATCATAGGTAGAAGGAAGTTATGAATGAAGAAATGAATTCATTTCAAAGGAACTCAACTTGGGAAGTTGTTGAGCTTCTTGAAAGAAAGAAACCCATTGAATCTGACAATTAGATACAAGGCAGATGAAACCTTTTAACAAGTCAAAGCTAGACTAGTTGCAAATGGGTACACTTAAACTTATGGAATTGACTACATGGAGACATTCATATCAGTAACAAAAATCAATATTCTCCGTATTCTCATATCCTTGGCGATGAATTTTGGCTTGCCATTGCACCAATTTGATGTGAAGAATATAGTTTTGCTTGGAGAACTTGAAGTAGAAGTATACATAAAGTTGCCTCTTGGATGTAACTTGCAATACAAATGTGAAAAATATGTCTTCAGATTAAAAATATGGTTTTAAGCAATCTCCAAGAACATGGTTTGGAAGATTTACGAAATCAATGAAAGCTTTTGGTTATAAGCTGAGTAACATAGATCATACCTTTTCTGTGAGGCTAATCAAAGAATGATTATTTGTCGCAATGTGTATATTGATAAAATGATAATAACAAAAAATGATTCAAAAGCAATGGACATATTATAGAGCCATCTTGCTAGAGAATTTGAGATGAAGAACCTTTATCCAGTGAAATACTTGTTATTCAAGCATCAAGATCAAAGAAAGTTGTCTTTCTATCTCTATGAAAATATGCCTTTGATTTACTAAGTGAGACTAGTATGGTATCATGTAATCCAGTTAGCACTCTTAGGGAAGAAATTTTGAAGTTAGGCATACGTAAAAATCAAGTTTTGAAAAACAAGGAGAGGTATAAAAGATTAGTTGTGAGAGTAATGTAACTTGCACATACTTGACCGAACTTAGCATATGCATCAAGTGTCGTGAGTCAATTTTTGTATTCTCAAAGTGAAGAACACATGGTGAAGTTCCCACATTTTCCGATACTTGAAATCATCTCCAGGGAAAAGAAATTATGTTAAAAAAGGGGAATAATTTAGTTTTCCAAGGATACACTGATGCAGATTGGGTTGGATCAATCCATGATAGGTTATTTACTACATGATATTTCACTTTTGTAAGAGAAAATTTGGTCAATTGGGAGAGCAAGGAACAAGTTGTACTTGCTTTATCTAGTGTTGAATATGAGTTCAGAGCAATGACTAAGGCAATGTGTGAATTATTATAGATCCGTTATTTATTAGGAGATCAGTCTATTAAACATGACAACTTAAGGAATCTATATTTTGATAACAAGACAGTTTGTGATATTGCCGACAACCAAATTCAGCCCTATCGAACTAAACATGTGGAAGATATACATTTCATCAAGGAGAAACTAGAAGCAAGGATCATTAAAATGCCTCATATCTCATCTCAAGCACAATTTGTTGACCTTCTCGCCGAGGCCGTATGAAGTTTAGTTTTTCATGATGGTCTTAATAAATTGGGAATGAGCGACATCTACAAACCAACTTGAGGAGTGTTGAAGATTCTAAAAATATTTTCAAGTTGGTATACTCTCATATATAGATTGCTTGTAAATAAATATGCTTCCTAAATTAGAGATATGCTGTAATGACTGAAAGATTTGTTATCCTAAATTTTAGTATTCCAATTATGTATAATAGTTATTTATAGCATCAATATTGTAAAATGAATTATATGAATCAAACCAAGAATTTGGCTGATCTTTCATCTCACATAAAAAAAATTGTTATTTTATTTTTTAAATAGTGAAATACCGCGTTTCATGTATAGTTAAGGTGGCATTTATCTAAAATTAAATTTTAGATATTAGATATCTCTCTCTCTATATATATATATATATATATATATATATTAATTAATTAATTAATTAATTAAAGTTTAACTCGTGACTTCGTATTCTATATACGTTATCCAGATTAGGAAAAAGGACCGAGCAATCCTTTTTGAAGCTAAGCCTTTCGAAGGAACAATAAAAGAAGAGCCGAAGGAAGCAATTGATCCAAAAGTTCTTCCTCCTGAGTCAGGAAAATTGCATAATAAAAGGAGAAAACCAACTCCATATGGAACTCAAGGTTCTGAATCAATGGATGGTATTTCCCTCGTAGTTTATTTATTCATTGTTTTTGTTAAGGGGTTTAAATAGTTTATCATATGTGATGGATATTCATCTAGAATGGTTTCCTCAAATTTATGTGTTTCAAGGAATAAATATTATTTTTATTATAGAAGATTTACATACATACCACTCAATTCCTACGTATTGACATATCTAACACCTAAACTTCAATTTTTACACACATACCACCTTATGATGGTACCTTTGCTATGACATGAAAGGTTTGGGTGGTATAAATGTAAAATATGATGTTTATGTGTAAGATGTGTAAATACATCATACCACTCAATTCCTTCGTATTTACATATATAACACCTAAACTTCAATTTTTAAATGCATACCGCCTTACCCATGCATGAAGAGGTGTATTTTACAGTTTGAAAGTTAAAATGAAGGTATTTTGCGGTGATATAAAAGATTTGGGTGGTAAACATGTAAAAGGGAAAGTTGAGGTATATGTAAATACATAAGAATTGGGTGGTATGTATGTAAATGCCCCTTTTATCATAGAGATTAATAATATTGAATAATCAGCTACTCTCACTTTTTTACCAGGAACTACTATTGGATTGGGTGCTTCCAGTAGCTGTCGGTATGACAGTTCCCTAAGTAAGCTGACGCCTATCTTCGATTGAATTATGAATTGCACTTTTACGGAATTAATGAGCATAGCTGCCTTATTTAGTCTCTAACAGTAAGTCTCTATAGGTTTGTTGACAAAGAAGTTTCTCAACTTGCTTTTGGAGGCTAGCGATGGCACTCTTGATTTGAATAAAGCAGCACAAGAGTTAGATGTATGATACTAACTATTTTCAACTTATAGGACGCATAGTTGATATCTTAGAGTATGTTTGGGATAGCTTTTTACTCGTTTTGCGTTTCAGACTGCCGCTATAACTTTGTTTGGAGAATTGATTTCTTATTATTTTTTAGAAATTTTTGTAGTGAGAAGTTTTTTTATAATCAGATATGTTAAAATATGGTGGCTATAATAAAGTTGCCTTATATTTTGGAAAAAAAATTAAATATTTATAATTCTCACCACAACTTTCTAAATAGTTGATTTTCCCACCATAGTTTTAAAACCACTGTTAGCCTAATTGTCTGTTTGGCATGACTGAAGTTTTTGTAAAGGTGTTTGTAAAATTGTGATGGGAAAATCAATTTCTTAAATGCTATGGTACAATTTTATTTACTGTCATTATATTTTAAGAGATCTAGTAGCAAAAGATAGCTTATGGTCATAAAAATTTTCTGAAAGCAACAAAAAGATAGTTCCCAAATAGAACTATGGCAGATATCTGAAGTATAACACAGGCATAAATTATCCCAAACACACACTTAATCTTATTGCAACACGTTATTAATCGTTCATAGTATTCCTCTCTTATTTATGGGCAGGTTCAAAAGAGAAGGATGTATGATATAACCAATGTACTTGAAGGGATAGGCTTAATTGAGAAGGGTTTGAAGAATATGATACGATTGAAGTAATTGCCGAATCTGTTTTTATGTTATTCTTCCGAATAATTTCAGCAGTTTCCTGACTCACATTCTTCCTTGCAGGGAAACTCACATGTCAAGACCAAAGGAAGCGGAAGAATATAAAGCTCGCTTGAGGGTACAGAATTAAAACTTATTTTTATTTTTTATTTTTTTGTTTTCCTCTGTTGTGGAGGTTCTTTTGCTTCTATTGAAATCTCATTAGTATTGAATTTGAATTTATTTATATTTAAATTTAACTTACATATTACTATAAATAAGAGCCCTCAAGGTTTTTTTTAAAGTTTGAAGCAATTGAAATTAATTTCGTATAAATAGGAGGTCTTTGGATTTGGATTTAATTTACGTATTCCCCCAAATCATAATTTCTTGCTAACTTTATGATTTCTCCTTCTATAATTAGAGCGAATATTACGTGCGGAATCCGCACAAGCGGATTGCTAGTGTTTAGGCGGTATTGTGGTAAATATCACTACAATAACACCAAATTCTCTCTTATCCTCACGATATAATAAAATGCAGCTGAATGGAATCCTTTATACCATAGTCTCTCTCTCTAAACGTTGGAAGGCTCAGTTTTTCTTTTAGTATTCCTAATGTTTAAATTTGGTTCGAAACTCAGAAGAGGGGTTTCTAAGAACTGTCAAGCAACTTGACTAGGTAACATTGATTGTAGAAATTTGAAATTCTAGGCTCCTCCCACCATATATATTAGCTTACATTAGAGGAATTATTATGTACATAAAGAGAAGCCAAATAATTATCTTCAAATAAAGGGTCTCTTTGGGAAAATTTTCTATTTGCTTTATGTTTTAGATGGTCACCACAATTCTATTAAGGGAATTGTTTTTTAGAAATTTTACAGTGAGTAATGTGTTTTTTGCAATCATATCTATTAAAGTACGGTGTCTGTAAGGAAGTTGTTGTTTGATTTATTGAAAAAAAGAAATATTTATAATTCACACTGCAACTTTCTCAATATTTTACTCACAATTTTAAGATTACCTTAACAAAAAAGTAAACCGTCCCAATTAAACTTTAAATATCATGGTAGAAGAAGAGAGCTAGCACCCACACACCAACAAATACCTTTTTTTTTCAACTTTTTTTTTCCACCTTACACAACCATCTCACATACGATAGTATATTATATTAATATCAATATTTCCGATCGTAAATTATATTAACGTCAATATTTCTAAATTGTACCTATGCTGATTAAAAAAATCTCGGCTTCCCGTTGCTTTGTATCTATGTATTAAAGCTTACTCACTTAATAGTTCTTACCCACTTAATATTGATTTAATTATTGAAATATCCATGTGAAGTTTTTATTTTTATTTTTTTTAATATTATTACTTGTTCCACAATGTTCAGGCTGAAATAGAGGTTTTGCGGAAAGAAGAGCATAGAGCGGATAGATTGATCAGGTAGAGCCTCTGATAAGATGAACTCTTTATATTCTACTGTTCATTTTGCATCACTTAATGTATTCTTCACTCAGAGAAAGGAAAGAGCAAATTGCGGCTTTAACGCAAGATGAAAACAGCAGAAAGTATGATTTCATTTCCTCTATTTTAAAACCATAATTTAGGGCTTGTTTGAAATCAATCTTTGTTTTTTTTAAATTTTTTTAACATATTTGTTTAATGTATATTTTTTTTTACATTTTTTATCTTTTGATTATAAAAGATAATTAATATATTTTTGAAAACACTCACAATAAATTTTAGATATTTTGAGTGCTTTTAAAAATTCAAATATGTCAGAATGTAAAATAAAATAAAAATGAAAAAGTAAAGTGATCCCAAACAACCCTTACTTTTCTTTTATTTCTTCTTTAACATATCATTTTTATCCCCTTGCAGATGGCTTTATGTCACCAGAGAAGATATAAACTCTTTTTCTTGTTTTGAGGTCTGCTTGATTGATTCTTCTCATATTCCACAATCAGTTCATAATAATTGATTTTTTTTTTAAGGAAGATTTACATACATACCACTCGATTCTTGTGTATTTCCATATCTAATACATAAACTTTAATTTTTACATATATGATGTGAAAGATGTATTTCATATTGTACATGTAATACATTATGATATGTAAATACTAAAGAATAAAAAAGCAAGTTGTAGGAATTAGATATGTAAATACATGATAATTGGGCGGTATGTATGTAAACGGCCGTTTTTTTAATATTATTTATATTTTATCTGGTTTATTTATTTTAGGATTCAACTTTGATTGCAATTGAAGCTCCACATGGTACTATAGTCGAAGTTCCAGATCCTAATGAGGCAAGAAACAAAGCCAATGGAAGTTTTTGTTTCCTTTCTGCAGTTTAGGCATGATCAAATAACCCTCTATGTTCTGTTATTGAGCAGAGTTTTGAATTTCCACAACAGCTTTCTATGGTTTTGAGAAGCTCCATTGGTCCCATTCATTGTTACTTGTTAAGGTAAGAGTTGGCTTTGTATTTTTTATATATCTGCAGTATGTCATCACATTCATTCGTATTCATATATAAATATAAGTGGCATTCACATACATACCACACAATTCTTATGTATTTACATATCTAACACCTAAACTTTTATATTTACATATATAACTCTCTTGCATTCATCGGAACATGTTTAAAAGTGAAGCACCCATTTTCATGCATAGGTTCATGACACCAGATATGTAAATTCAACGGAATTGTGTGCTACGTATGTAAATTTTCTTAAAAATATAAATACGTGAATATGCATATGCACAATGTATACGTATATGCAAATACATATTAATATACATGTATACATGCATTTATGTATATTTTTATGTACATGTAATTATAATCTAGCTACCATCCAGCCAAACGATTGAATAAGGCCTTGTTCAGGTTGGCTTTTTACATTTCTGGCCTTGTAATAATGGGTAATTATCAAGCTGAACATGATTTAAAATGAATACCACCCTAATTTGTGTTAATTGTTATTGACAGTCAGCATGAGGAAAGAATTGGATCTTTAAATTCAGACCAACTGACTAAAGGAATGGATTTGTGCTCCAAGCATGATTGCTTTCCATTGGATAGATTTTCTTCAGAGCCTTCCAATTTGGGGGAATCTTTGGGTGGTATGGTGAAAATTGAGCCTTCCGATTTAAATGTAAGGCCTCTCGTGTTTAGATTTACGCTTTATTTTCAGAAATTTGAGTTAAATTATTATATTGTGATAGCTATAAGCAAAATTGGGGCATTTACATACATATCACCTAATTATATGTATTACATAACACCAAAACTTTGATTTTCTTACATGTCTTACCCAAATCCTTCATATTACATCAAGTATACCACCACAATAATTAAAAGTTAGTTGTTAGATATGTAAATACATAGGAATTGAGTGGTATGTATGTAAAAACCAACAATATTCACAGTAGCTTTAAAAAAAACCTATTTTTCTTGTAACAATACTACAATATTTACCAAAAGTTGCAGCCGCATCAAAATGGACCCTTAAATGTTCATTTATACCCATTTTATATGACATTCTTTTGTTTGACGCAGGGAGAATCTGATTATTGGTTTCTATCAGAACTTGGAACTAGCCTTGCTGAAATATGGCCTGAATAGCAACATCAGATGTTAGATGGATTTTTTTTTGGGTGCTATTCTACAAAGGCAGAATGATGGCTGCAGATGGACCACAATCTGATCCCTAGGTAAAAATGCAAAAAAAAAAAAAAAAATAAAGAGTTCAAATTGGCCACCAAATTATTTAGAGTGGTTGATATTGACTCCAAATTTTTTTCATTCTCCAATTTGATCCTTGGATTAAACAAAATTTGGACTCATTTGAGTATCTGATATCATTTGATATTGAAAGAAATTTTTGAGTGCCGCGTATCCCAGTTTATTGGTTGTCATCCACGGTATAAGACCCCTCCGGTCGGAGATGCGAATCCAGTTGGTCTTAAGGAAGTGGTCTTGAATTGTTAGGCATATTAGGGGTGGTTAGAGGCTCGTATAATAGTCTCTGACCATTTTTTCTAAAAAAAAAACTTCAAACTTTTGATGAGTCGAGGGATCAAATTGTGGATTGAGAAAATTTTGGTTCAAAATAAACACCCTCTAAATAATGTAGCGGTTGATGTGGTTGTCACCAGGATGAATTTTAAATTCTTTGAATTTGCTTCGAGATTAATGCAATATAAAAAATTAATTTGATTGTTTATATCTTGCATTCATCTGAAAGTAAATTTAAGGTTTTTAAAATTTATTTGGTTCAAAATTTTATCAGAATGTTATATTCTGATCAAAGTTTTCTTTTCAGTTGGGGGCCCACTTATTTTATGTTAGCTTTCTTGTAAATATATATATGATGGGTTGTAATGTGATTATATTTAATGAATTTTCTGGAGATATTAATTGTAAACCCAATATAGTTTTCTAATGTTTGGGAATTAGTTAGTTGAGTCATTTAGGTACAGTTATGGGGTGTTCCAAAAACAGTTTTAAAACGGTTTAAGGGTTCGTTTCGGGCAGCTTATAAGTGTGGGCCGTATTGTTTGGTTCGCGCGTTTCACCAGTTTATCTGAAACTGTGTTTGAGTTTTTACATTAAATGCATGCCGCGGGTCGCCCCTGCGGTTGGCTCGCGGGCCGCATTTCAGGATAAACAACTTATCCTGAAACGCACAAGTTGCTCCAAACGAACCCTAAATATGTATTTAATGAGCTTTTATTATATAAATTACTTAGTAAAGTCAATCAAGTATAATTGTATTGTAGTTTGATTTCTTTAATTTAGCTCCAATTTAATTAAATCAAAACAAAATAAATTTAAAAATTTAGTTTTGATTATGTAAAAACTAAACGAAAATTAAAGCATAAAGAATGAGAAAGAAAATCTAATTTTATTTGATCAAATATTAATTTTAAAACAATTTCTAAATTTCAAAGCATTAAGTAGTTAGGGAAATAGTTAAATTTTTTGAATTTTAGTTTTGGTAAAGTTTAATAAGATATTATATAACTATTTAAGTTTGAGTTTAAAGGAATTTAAGTCAAATATTTAAAAGCATATTTTTAAACTATTTTTAAGGAAAATCGAATGAGCAAATGATTTGTTTTTTTTGTAGTATTGGATGACATGACATTGATCTACTAAAGTTTGCCACATTTTCATATTATTATAAAAAAACCTTAGGACCTCTAAAGCTTCCAATTAAAACTTAAAGACAATAGTCCTCATAATAATAAATAAATAAAAATAATAAAGTAAGATAAAAAAGATAGGCATGTCTATGATAGTATTCTATTCTACAATCATTTTTTGGCAACTCTCAACTCAATTTGTACTGTTCTATTCAAAAGTTGCACTGTGACAAAGAATAAAGTGACATTCAACATGTGTGTATTAAATTCAAAGTTATATACTATCATAAGGTTTAAAGATCCACATCAAGCAAATGAAGAGCTATAAAAACAAACACATTGATAATATGTAAAAACTAAATTAAATAAAGAAAAAAGCTACAAATACTGACATATTGTCATAAAGTACGAATGAAAGCTACCAATAACAACATATCGACATAGAGTATTAATCCACTATGATATCCTCCTTATTAGGGATATGCTCATAAAAGTCTCTTTGCTTTTTTGCCTTTTGAGCATGAGGTGGGATCTCTAGAGGCATAGTTGGGAGCAAGCCCCTCAATATCAACTCTAATCTGTTGATGCACCACCTGAGTCCCATTTACGAAGCATCGTATGAATCCCTCCTCGATATATTCTTATTGATGTTCCTTCACTTTAATATCATATATGTGGTAACAAGCCTCTTGAGCATTACTCTTGAATGATGCTTTTGAACTCAATCGAACTTTAAATTCTTCCAAAACCCTCAACCCAATTCCAACAACATCAGTCTCCTTCTCTGACTTCAACTTTTTTTTTCTCCTCAAGTTCAAATACCTTCATTCTCAAAGCCTTCAAACTATTGGTATTCTCACTAATGTTAGCTTGTATCTCCACCAGCTCCTCCTGAGTACTCTCTATATCTTGATGCTGTAATGAGAGGGAAGTCATCTGGGCAGTCATCTCAGTTTTGCACTCTATCAACTGATTATCTAAGGCCACAAATTCTTCAGCTTTAGAATTATATCACCGCTAGTGTTCATCCTGAAGAAATTTGACCTTGACAAATTCAAATTTCCACTCTATCAATGAAAAATTGAACCCTAATTTAAGTTCGATCTTTTTCATCATCTGAAACAAATAATGTCATATCAAATAGATGAAAGGAACATAAAACAAAGGAGATCAACATATGTGAAAAAAGACACATGTTTTTCAGCCTATTGGTAATAAGTGCATGGATGATTTAGTACTCTGCGGAATATAAATTTTTGAAAGATTGATCAGAGAATTTTTCCTCCCATCACTCTTGCTTTGCTTTGAAGGAAGAATTTCACAGTCACTGTTCTGATGGAGTCGCTTTGAAGGAGTAGTGGGACTCAATTCTAGGCGCTTTTTCTCAAATTTCAACATCATAACATAAGATCATCTAGAGTATATAGAAACACCAATCTTGAACAAAACATTCTTCATTCATGGCATTCTGATGTATTGTACCTCAAACTATGGATCTATGATGTTTCAAAATTCCAACATCCATAGTATGTCATCTATAGTGTTCTGAAGAGGAGTGTGAATCTCAGACAATTTCCCCTATACATTCACAAAATTTCCAGCAATTCTAGACGCTTCTTCTCAGATTTCTTCAACATCATAACATAAGATCATCTAGAGTATATAAAAACACCAATCTTGAACAAAACACTCTTCATTCATGACATTCTGATGTATTGTACCTCAAACTATGGATCTTTGATGTTCCGAAATTCCAACATCCATAGTATGTCATCCATAGTGATCTGAAGAGGAGTGTGAATCTCAGGCAATTTCCCCTATACATTCACAAAATTTCCAGCAATTCTGTGCAAAGAAAAATCTGTCATACCAGTTCCTTATCTGATCCTTCATGCCAATATCAAATACGTTGCTTCTGAAAGAAACACGACCGTGTGCATCACTAAAGAACATATTAATCCTGGCTAAGTTCTCTGGTGTCAACTTAGCCCTGTCTTTTCTGAAGAAGGCAATCAACTTGACCACAATCATCATTGACAGACAGAAGAACTGTGAAACTAACTTTGGTTGCTAATAAAACATCTATCAACTCGAGCACTGGAAGGAGCCGTAGATCGACACAGAAATTTATCTCATAAATTGTGATGTATCCAAGTGGAGGCTAGCATGCTCGATTTGTCGGAGTTGGCAACTTCACTACCATGTTGTTTGAAAAGTGAAATTTCTTTTGAAATAGTCTTAGGGCGCCTTCAGTTAGTGTAATACCTCATTGTCAGGTTTCTGGCACTTGTGATTTTCAGGCTGTCAGTTTTTCCGAACAACATTGGGATCTCGATGGATCATCTATCACCAAAAAATGTCCCCTATAAAAAAGCAACATTGCCCATAGATGGGGCAACACCAGCACATGAGATGGGTCAACACCAACCCAAATGGTGGGGCAACATCAACCCAAAAGATGGGGTAACACCAGCCCAGGAGATGAGACAAGCAACACTGCCCCAGGAAAAAGGGAAAAACCAGCTCAGCCCAAAAGATGAGGATGGGGCAACACCCTCCTAGGAGATGGGGCAACACCCTCCTAAGAGATGGGGTAACACCAAACAGAAGATGTGGCAACATCAACTCGAGAGAGGAGACAACAACAGCCTGAAAGAGACTCTAACGTGTGGATAAGAGGGGTCATTCTGTGTCAATGACCCTATTTATAGGCCAAAATTTGGACTTTTTGCGTCAGAGGATGAAAAACTCAAATTGCTTGAAAATCATCTATGGGCATGCCACACACACACACACACACACACACACACACACACACACACACACATGCACATATGTGAACGCACTGTCACAAGCCCAACGTTGTTGGTCTATGTTAACCTAATATGTTTTTCTGGCTCGTTGCATCAATATCCCTTGTCCGGTCCTCATGACGCCACGATACGCTCTGCAAGATACCACGACCTGCTCCACAAGATGTCCACAATCTGCTAACTCGCTGAATGCTAGCTCATGTAGCTGCTTGTTGCCCATGATGAGGCCCATCTTGACACACTTGATGTTGACCCAAACTTTGCCCGCAGTGATGCCCGCAAGAACACCTACGCGACATAGTCAAACAAGCGTCGTGCGCTCCATTGCATTTCTACTTGCGTTCATACTCGCTTTTGGATCCCACTACGCTCTTAATGTATAATTACACACTCCGTTGCTTGTTCAACACACATAAGCACTTGTGGATGCATGTCTGCTCCTAGATGCTTACCACCGCCTTTCAGTCGTTACCACCTATAGAGTTATGTTATTTGGTTGTCACTATCATCTTCAGACCATAGCTGTCAATTCGCTGACAACCGTGACAACAACAACTTGATCGAACATTTAAAAGATACCAGGACAATTCAAAATACCTCAAATTATTTTCAGAAATATTTATTTTTGGACAAAGTAAATAACTCCCCCTGAAAATAGAAGCCACTAATGCGTGATCAATAAATTTTATTATTTGAAATGAATCTCGATGCATTTTTTTAATAAGAAATGTTCCAGATTCAAATTAAAGATTATACATAACCCCAATTTCAACATGTTTATAATTAAACATACAATTTCTATATGAAAAACCTGGTTATAACAAATTTTATTTAATATGAGTTCAATCAAGTTCATATCAATATATTAAAACACATTTGGAGGCTTTAGATCATTAATTGAATGGTGAAATGAAATTCAAATTTGACATAATTATAGCCAAATCGAGTGTTTCAATTAGAGGAATCCAACGAGTGTATGATCACTTAATTTGAGGTCATTAAGGCATTCAAATCACTAAGAAAACTCTTATGATCAAAGGGGATTAATATGGGCCGTTCGATCACTAAAGAACCAAAATGCCTCTCTCTAGATGCTATAAATATACCACTTCTCATTAGTTGGAGGGGGGAGGAGTCGAAATTCAGTGTTGTTCTGGAACGAAGACCTGATGATAACTTCCGATCTTCGTAGCATACCCCCGTCACCCTCCGTTAGTCACCCGCTCTTGCAAGCCGCCATGAGCAAAATCTGTTTCTAATGATGTATCCCAAATATAGTGTAACGATTAACACTGTATTGAATATCTTGTGATAACTTTCAGTGATAACTGCTTATTGCTCTTGTATTCAGTATACGACGACTTCTTCTGAACTCTTGAAGTTTTTTTCTACATTATATATGAGCAAACATTATATCTGATGTAAATTGTAAATCAACTTTTCTAATTGTGAGAAAATAATATATCTTTGTACTTACACATTTATAAAGGAGTATTTTGATTGAGTAGTGATTTTTTCCCTATTTGAATTTTTTTATGTAAAAAATCCTATTGTCTTCCTACACTACTTTCAAATAATATGCCTATGTTACATCTTCGCACAATATTAATGTCAAAAGTGATTGGTTAACCGTTCAAAAATTAAATTGAAACAAAAATAACAATTAAAAGAAAAATTATTTTATTTTTGTTCATCTAAATCTCAAAATCTATAAATTTCAAGAGACAATTCAATATCCCGCATGAACAAATTTTTTATCTAAATAAAATATTTAAGATTTGTCCATCTAAATCTCAAAAAACTTTTTTTATTTTCATATTTATATGTTCAGCTTGAATCGGCGCAAGATCATAACGGCCTAAAAAATAAACCTTATGCTAGTGATTAGATACATATAGGCACAAACGCATCCACACACACTACACAATTCTTATATCTATAATGCTCTGATATTATATTGGTTGGAAGTAAGCGAAAGGTCCAATTCAAATGCTCTAGAAAATATTACATCCGAATTTCGTATGCTATTTACGTCCAGAGTTCAATGTTGAGGTGTCATGTGCCAAGTGGGCCCCATCACAAATACTGACATTGGTTATTATTAAAAGTGATGGGGTCCACTTGACACGTTAAGTCCATCAATGAAAGTGTAATATTTTTTTTTCCAAATGCTCAGGTTGTTTGTAAAAAAAATATTTAAATGCGGTATTTAAAACAAATAAGAACTGTGCTGTATATGTTTGTAAATTTCCCCCATACATATGACGGAAAAAAAAATGGGATAAGATTCGGATAAAGCTAAGGCAGCCACAGGAAGTAGAAGAGGAAAGAAAGGCAAGACAAGAAAATGGAAAGCAGACTCATCTTCCCCCCCTTCCCCTCCAAACTTCACCACTCCAACCCTCCTACCCCCTCCCCAAATACCAGACATCTCCCCATCCTCTGCTCATCAGCTTCCCCCAACAACAATTCTCAACACATCAGCACCAACAATGGCAAATCAAAGGAAACGAAGCCCCCCCCAAATCTCAACATCCGCTACAGAGCTCGCTCCAGAAGACAAATGGCGAAGCAAGAGAAGAAGCAGAAGCAGGGAGAAGAAGAAGAGGAAGAAGGATTGCAGAAAGAACCCAAGCCCTCGAAGAAGAAAAAATGGGAGGAGATGAAGCTTTCAGAGAAGGCGTTGGAGGTATACATGGGGGAAAAAGGGCTCCTTTTTTGGGTTAATAAGTTTGCCTACGCCTCCATCTTCGTTGTGATCGGCGGGGTGGATTCTCTTCCGCTTTCTCGGCCCTTCTCTAGGGCTGTATCAGCTGGACTCCCCGCCTCTCTCTCCATCCTCCTTGTTGAAAGGTGGGTGATCTTATTTATCATTCTGATCATAAAATTCAAATTTTGATTTGGGTGAGTTTTGAAATTTTTTGATTTGTTTTTAGATTCTTGTGTCATGGTATAAGTTTTGCACTATATCAGAATGAATTTAAGATTTTGTTGAGATGGTGCCAGTGTATGTGATGAATCAAACAATTGGGGCATTTACATGTATACCATTCAATTGTTATGTATTTACATATTTACCATCTAAATTTTATTTTTTTTATTTTAATATTTATTCCACTAAAGTTTTTCATATCACATAAAAGTACCACTTTTGCTACTTAAAAAAAATGAAATATGCATTTTCATGCATAAACAAGGCTGACTTTTATTTAAAATTTGAAATTTGGGCGTGAGATATGTAAATTGATAGGAATTGGTTGATATATACGTAAATCTTTCTTAAAATTTATGTTATGTTCATCTAAAAAATATTCAATATCATGATTGTATACACCAAAATCACTGGCACGATTCTCAAAGAGATTGAATGTGCAAGGATGATAATCGGATAATCGAAGCATCAGACCAAAGAAGCACGTTCGGAACCAGCCATCTGACGACTGACTGCTCAGCCGAGTTGACCGACTTATGGCTTTAGCAGATCTGATTGGAGGATCTTGCTTGCGATTCTGGTCATATGAGGGCTCTCACGAATTGACCGACCGTTTCATTGCCTGTCAACCAACTGATAACCGTTGCATTATGTTCATATTGTAACGAAAATCTAATATTAAATTAACATATTAATTATATTAAGGGTGGTTTTCATAACCGTTCCCTTCTTTTCATAATTGAACAAATGGGCTCCCATAAATAGGAGGTCAAAGGATTGAATAAGGAGTCTTTTTCCCTGACTCCTCTCCCTAGAAATTTTTGTTTGATTTACTCTCTGTCACTCTCCTTCTCTCGACTCCTACTCTCGAGGCGTGTATCCACAAATGACAATTTAGGATTCAATGTCCTAAAAGAAGGTGCGGTGAGCGTGGACATGCCATAGATGAGAAGCAGAGCAAATTACAAAGGAGAAGTCTCACATAGAGCTATAACAACCATGGAATTCAATAGGGGGATAGTTTGTCGGGATATCCAAGAGGAGGTCCAAGCGTTGTGAACGTAGATGATGGACCAATTCAAGGCACTCCAAGCGGCGATAACGTGAAGAGACGTTCAACCACCACTCATGGAACGAGAGTTTGCGGAGCTCGCTCCCATGGAGGCCCTCTTGAGAAGCCACCAACACCTAACGACTCAGTTGGTGATCACCCGACTTAAGGGCAAGGTGACTCTCAGCATGCTGACAATGCAAAATCTACGCCAGTGGTTAGGCATCAGATAAATCGAGGGGAAGTGCCTACGCGACCGATCGCAGGAAGGGCCTTCTCTTGATGGATCCTGGAGACTGTACTCCCAACGAAGCTAAGGATCACACATTTGGATCCTTGCAAGGGGAAGAGCGACTCAGTCGACCACGTGGCTTCCTTCAAATCATCGGTCAGAGTCCTACAGATCGACGATGTGATGAAGTGACGGCTTTTCCTGACCACGTTGAAGGTATATGCTCTTTGATGGTTCAACAACCTTCTGGATGGAATCATTCGGTCCATTTATAAGCTCATAAGACTCTTCTTGGCACACTTCACCAATGTACAAAAATCGAGGAAAGATTTGGTTACCTTGCTCCAGATCAAACAGGGAGACAATGAAAGCCAGTAGGCTTACATTAGGCTTACATCATTCAGTTCGAGAAGGTAATGCTGGAAGTAAAGAATCTCGAGCCTCTCATCGCCATTGCTGAATAATTACGAAGAAGTAACTTCTACTTGCCACATCGCGGTAAAATTTCTCGTGGATGGGGAGATAATCACCGTCTGAGGGAACCTGGAGCAGTCAACAAGCTGCTATCTTCGAGATGTCACCAATGTTAATCACGAGCCAATTGACAAAATCCATAGGGAAAAGGTCTCGAGACCAGTGAGACCATCCTTCTAGTGCCCACAACTGACAAGGAGGAGCATGGTAAGGTTTTTTTGATTTGTAAGAATTTTCAAGGACACAAGGATCTGCTGATTCAGATCCTTCTCATGCATCAAAATACCTTCACTTGGACGACCGCAAAGATGACTGAGATTTAGATCAATGTTACATTTCATCGACTTAATGTTGGTTGAATCTCTCGACAGGTACAACAAACGCTTCGAGCAACAACAATAACCTTAGCCGAACTAATCGCAACAGAGGTCCAGAAGCTGAATGAGGCATGCTACATCTGGGAGGTGCAATACCCTACCTAGCTCTCAAATGTGGTGAGGGTTTGAAAATCCAAAGGCAAATGGAGAATGAGTGTCAACTTCACAAACCTCAATGTCTCTTGTCCGAAGGATATCAACCCCTTGCACAGGATTGACACATTGATGGAAGTAGTAGTTTGCTAGTCTGTAATGAGCTTTCTTGATGCCTTCTAAGGCTATCACTAGATAAAGATGTATTCGACCGACCTAGAAAAATTTGTTTTCATCACTGCACAAGGAGTCTTTTATTTTGATGTAATGCCCTTTGGACTAAAAAAGGCTGGGGAGACCTATCAACTTCTTATGGACATATTTTTTTCAAATCAGAATGCAAATAATGTTGAGGTGTTTGTGGATGATCTCTCAGTTAAAAGTAAATCTGCTAAACAACATATAAAAGATTTAAAAAACTTTTGAAACCCTTAAAAAGTTTAACATGAAGTTGAATCCTTCGAAGTACACTTTCGGGGCATTGACTAACAAATTTCTTGGCTTTCTGCTGACCCTTGACGGTCTAAAAGCCAACGTAGAAGAGGTCCAGAGAATCCTCAATATGTCCTCCCCTTGAAACATTAAATAAGTGCAAAGACTAGCTGGTCAAGTTGTGGGACTCAATCACTTCATTTCAAAATCAGGTGACAAGTGTGCAACATCAATGTGCTAACAAAAAACCAACACTTTGGATGGACAACCAATTACGAGTTAGCATTCAAAAGTTTAAAGGACTCACTGGCATCGCCGCCACTGCTCAAAAGCCCAAAATCAATAGAAGAATTATCACTATACCTTAGAGTCGGACAAGAGGTGGTTAGCTCGGTATTATTCAGAGAGGATGTGTGGAAGCAATTTCTGGTGTATACACCAGTCGGGTTCTTTGAGACAAAGAAATTAGGTATCCAATTATGGGAAAACTAACATTTTGATTAATTATTTCCTCTCACAGGTTCTAACCCTATTTATAGATGCACATGATTTGAGTTGTCACTGATCACCCTTTGAAGTCCGTACTCACTCAACCAGAGCATTCTGGTCATTTGTTAAAATGGGTGGTAGAACTCAGTATATATGACAATAAGTTTGTCCCTCAAATGACTATCAAAGCACAAACAATTTTTAATTTCTTGGTGGACTTCTCCGAACAAAAGCAGTCCGACAAATGAAGCCTTACCAGTGACAGGACATGGATATTGCACGTCGACGGAGCATCCAAGCAAGCGACCGCTAGACTGGGACTGCCGCTGAGTAGCCCAACCGTAGAACACTTCTACCAGTCAATTTTGGTAGAGTTTCAGGTTACAAATAACCAGGTGGAGTACGAATCTTTGATCGTCAGGCTTCACTAGGCTTGCAAAATAATTGCACAGGATCTGCTGATAAAGTCAGACTCATTCTTGGTATTCAATTAAGTCAATGGAGAATTCAAGCCCCATAATGAGCTGTTATCTTAGTACTTGGCCAAGAAAAGAAAAGTAATTGGGAGATTTTAAAACTTTCAGATGTAGCACGTGGACCGTGGGGAAAATCACGTCACTGATATTTTATCCAAACACATATGTTTAGTCGGGACTCCACAAAGGCTAACTAGACCAGCAGTCGAGGAACAAAAAGTGATGGAAGTATCGATCATAGGAACTAAAAGTTGGATGGATCTGTACATCCTCTACCTAGAAACAAGAAATATATTAGAATATGTTAAGACCCAAAATGCTTCAAAATCAAGGTTGTGTTGTATTTGATGATAGAAGAGAAGCTCTTCCGGTGATAAGTGACCTCAGGATACCTGAGGTGCCTAAGGGAAGATGAAGCGCAAGACGCTCTCAGGGAGGTGCACTCCAGAGAATGTGGGAGCCACTCCGAACGAAAAACTTTAGCTTATAGGGTGTAAGGGCAGGGTTACTTCTGGCTCACACTCCTTAAGGATGTCAAAGAATTATCTAAGAAGTGCAAGCAATGTCAGAAGTATGCAACCCTACATCATCGGTTGACTCACATGCTTCAACCGATTTCAATCCCTTGACAGTTTGCCTCATGAGGATTGGATATCCTAGGTCCTTTTCCATATTATAAATTACAACATACAAACAAACACTAGTTTTCATTACTGACAATGGGTTATAGTTTTCAGATCAATGCATGAAAGATTTCTATGTGCGTTAGGATATTGATTTGTAATTTGCTCCAATCCATCACCCTGAGAAGAATGAATAGGCCGAAGCGGCTAACAAGGTTATCCTGGATCTACTAAGAAAAAAGCTTGAAAGAGCTAGGGGAGCTCGGGTGGATCTACTATCGTCAGTACTTTGGGCTATTCGGACGACATTGTCATAAGCGACTGGTCAAATGGCTTTCATGCTAACTCACAGAATGGAAGCAGTTCCATCGGTCCTGTACAACTATCATTGCCAAAGGGTTGTCACAGTCATATTATTCAATGAGGAGAGCTTAGTCGAATGATGAGAAGTGAACATCGAAGGCACGGTGTTGGCCTTTGATCTGGCTGAAGAAAGGCGAGAAAGGCAAGCTGACTCAATCCTTCAACAAGATGACGTTAAAAGGAGGATGACTCAAAATTTAAAATGGAGGACAACTCGATACTTCAAAAGAAGTTATCTTCCCTAAGAGACTTATTTCTAAAGAAAGTTGATAGAGTCACTTGAGTATAGTTGGTTGGCAAACTGGACCAGACATAGAGTGGACCATACATAATGCGCAAAAGAGTCTCTCTTAGAGCTAACAAACTCAAGACATATGCAAAGAAGGAACTCTCTTGGAAGTGAAGTGGAGATGACTTGAAGAAATATTTTCCTTAATTTTTTTTTTTAGAAAAATAAAAGGGAGTGTCGTTACAAACTTGTATGTTTGATTGATATGGTGAAAATTATGGTTAATTAATTCTGCTTGGA